GTTATAAGAATTCTTTATAATTTTATAGAACTGTACAACGAGGATGTGCAGGTGCTCCAGCCTTTCGAGAGTGACATTTACGAGTTAATAACGCACTTTCTACGACGACTCACGCCGCCAATTTGTTTCGTGGCACATAACGGCAATAGATTTGATTATCCGATATTCTTGGGAGAACTCGAACGCATTGAAAAGGTAATTGATTTATACATAACAGCCGATTTCTTCATGAACTTTTATTGGATAATGAAATTAAATAATAAAACCTTTTTTTCCCATTAAAGATGCTTAACAATGACATCCTCTGCGTGGACACGTGGAAGATGTTTCAAGATTTCTTCAAGAATAGAAACTTGGAACTGAAGGTGATTGAAGATATGTTGAACGACGGGTACAACGACTCGCTCTCCATGGTGGATGTGAACATGGTGACAGAAGAGCCTAAAATTACCGCGACGACGTCCACTGCACAAACAACGCTTCTCTATGATGATGTCAAGATTACAAATAAAAAAGTAGAGGAGTACAGCAACTATGTTGATGTCCAGTTGTCAAAGAATCCCATGCAAGAGTCGAACGAAAAAACGCCAAAGACGCAGATAATAAAGATGGAAAATGCATTTGTGCAGCGACCGTTCAAGAGGAGCAACCCGAAGAAGAGATTGAATTTCGATCGTGAGAGGCCGAGAAGCTTGAAACTCGTTGACATTTATGAGTATATGTTCCAATCGGACTTCTCGTATAGTCACACAGCCGAGGGAGACTGTCTCGCTATGATAAGCTGCGTCATCAAGGTTGCTGATTTCTTCCTCGATTGGTCAAAGAATAACGCATTTCCCTTGAGCTGCTGCAAAAAAACGTAAAAATAACGCAAATTAATTGATAATACACGATAAAAATAACAAAAAAATTAAACAAATGTGTAAAAAGAATGTGCAGTTATCGAGAATTGAGCTGCAAGACTAGTGTGAAATTCTAAAGTAATATTATTAAATACATCCTTCCCTCATTATCCTTCCCCCATATTGGCAAAATTGTATTAATAGTGAGAAATCATTAGCATAATTCGACGTGGCTAATATGGTATGAGGGATTAGGTGCCTTAATTTTATATAAATTATCGACTAAATTGAAAATCTTTATTCTTAGAAACTTTAAATTACCTTAAATTCATATTTTTAGGATTTATAGCTGTGATTTTATAACATCTCCGTTTCTTAAAAATATGAATTTAAAAGTATTCGTGGAAATACCCAGTTGTTATTAGCTTTAAGAATCACAAG